TTTCCAGGGTATTTTTTCCCATTGATTTCTGTTTAGAGAGTGGGAGGGTGAGGGAGAAACATAAATTTTTTTTGGAAAATATATTTTTATTGATTTCAGGGAAAAAGGGAGAGGGGGAGAGAGAGAAACATCAATGATGGGAGAGAATCATTGACTGGCTGCCTCCTGAACGCCCCACACTGGGGATCGAGCCTGTAACCCGGGCATGTGCCCTTGACCAGAATCGAACCTGGGACCCTTCAGTCCACAGGCTGACACTCTATCCACTGAGTCAGTGGTTCTCAACCTTCCTAATGCCATGACCCTTTAATACAGTTCCTCATGTTGTGGTGACCCCCAACCATAAAATTATTTTCGTTGCTACTTCATAACTGTAATTTTGCTACTGTTATGAATCGTAATGTAAATATCTGATATGCTATATGTGCTTTCCGATGGTCGCGACCCACAAGTTGAGAACCGCTGCGAGTGACTGAGCCAAACCAGCCAGGGCAAGACATATAAATTTGAGAGACACATTGGTTGTCTCCCACATGCACCCCAACCAGGGCATGGGATTGAACCTGCAACCAGGTACGTGCCCTTGACAGGGAATTGAACCGGAAACCCTTTGGTTGGTGGGCTGACGCTCTAACCACTGAACACACCAGCCAGGGCAGATTTATCTATGTCAGGGGTCCTCAAACTACGGCCCACGGGCCACATGCAAATACAAATATTGTATTTGTTCCCGTTTTGTTTTTTTACTTCAAAATAAGATATGTGCAATGTGCATAGAAATTTGTTCATAGTTTTTTTTAAAACTATAGTCCGGCCCTCCAAATGTCTGAGGGACAGTGAACTGGCCCCCTGTTTAAAAAGTTTGAGGACCCCTGATCTATGTCTTCATTTTTGACCCTAGGTCAGTGGCTCTCCACTGGGGCCATCTGGCAATGTCTGGAGACAATTTTAGTGGTGACCATTGGAGGTGAAGTGGAGGGGGCACGGGAAGTGCTGCTAAACATACAGAGCTTACCGTGCACAGGATTGTAGGTAACTGTTTTTCTCTTGCTGCTTTTAAGATTCTCTCTTTGTCTTTTGCTCTTGGTATTTTAATTATGATGTGTCTTGGTGTGGTCCTCTTTAGAACCAAAATGGGAGCTCAGATGGGAAGCTACTGAGCTGTCTGGACCATGGGGGAAGTGCCACGTGGATAAAGAATTTGCCAGCGAAGTAATGGTTTCAAAAAAGAATTCAAAACTTCTTTGGGCCCTGGCTGGTTTGGCTCAGTGTATAGAACGTCGGTCTGCAGACTCAAGGGTTCCGGGTTCGATTCTAGTCAAGGGCATGTACCTTGGTTGCGGGCACATCCCCAGTAGGGAGTGTGCAGAAGGCAGCTGATCGATGTTTCTCTCATCGATGTTTCTAACTCTCTATCCCTCTCCTCTCCTCTCTGTAAAAAATCAATAAAATATATTTTTAAAAAAACCAAAAAACAAAAAACTCCTTTGGGCTCCTAAATCCAAAATCTTTCCCATCCCATTTAAGCAGGCATCCATTCATTTCCCCTCACTTTCTGGTGCTTTCCAGATACTGAGTTGTGCGTTGTTGTTTTTAAATAATGACCTGAGGATATTTTTCCACTGATTCTTAGAGAGAATGGAAGGGAAGGGGAGGGGCACACAGAGAGAAACTTTGATGTGAGTGAGACACATCCACTAGTTGCCTCCTGCACGCACCAGGACAGGGGTGGGGTATCGAACCTGCAACCGAGGTACGTGCCCTTGATTGGGAATTGAACCTGGGACCCTTAGGTCCACAGGCTGACACTCTGTCCACTGAGCCAAACCAGCTGGGGCTTCATGGACTTTTAGAGAGTGTAAAAGCTGGGGAGGGGGGAGGGAGAGGGAGAAAGAGAGAAGAGAGAGAGAGAGAGAGAGAGAGAGAGGGAGAGAGAGATGAAAGAGACATATGGATAGGTTGCCTCCCCATCAAACCTGCAACCCAGGTACATGTTCTTGACTGGACATTGAACCCAAGACCCTTCAGTGCGCGGGCCAATGTTCTAAACACTGAGCCACACCCGCCAGGGAAGCAATGAAGCATTTTTAAACTAAGGTATGGACATTTTTTAGAAATAATGCTATTGCACACTTAATTAACCACAGTATCATGTAAACATAAACCATATGCACAGGGAAACCAAAAAATTCCTGTGACTCACTTTATTGCAATAGTCTGGAACCAAGTCCACAACATCTCCGAGGTATGCCTGTGGTCCTGATGGTGCTGCTTCTTCACTCCCAACATTCATTCACTTAAAAATGTTTAAAAATGTATTTTTATGGATTTCAGAGAGGAAAGGAGAGGGAGAGAGAGATAGAAACATCAATGATGAGAATCATTGATCGACTGCTTCTGCACGCCCCACACGGGGATCCAGCCCCGAAACCCAGGCCTGTGCCCTGACCTCCTAGTTCCTAGGTGACACTCAACCACTGGGCCTCGCCGTCTGGGCAATTCATTTAAAACTTAATTCCCCTCCCCGACTCCCCAAATTTAAACACAACCCGCTCACTCCTGACAAGGCACAAAAGCTCACCCCACCCCAGATCCTGCAGTGCGGGTTACCCCAGGGTGGGCACCTTGCCCTTCTCGTCCTGCCGCGCACTAGCTGAGCCCCTTGGGCAGCCACTTCATGTGTCCAGGCCTTCGTCTCCTTCCCTGTAAAACAGGGAGTTTAATCATAACCATCTCTTCCGCTCCGGGGCCCTCTCGTCCGACCACTCCCACCACGGAGGCTCCCAAGCGCTCACCGGAGTCCACGCTGTTCCCAGTTTTCTGAATATTTTCCTGTCTCTGACGTAGGGGCTGGGGACCCCCATTCTACAAATGGGGAACCCGAGGATGGACTGCCCCGGAACCGGACCACGGTCTCATAGCTTTGAGGGAAGGGGCTGGAGATCGGGGGTCTTCTCCAAAGCCCCGCAGCACCAAGTGGGGGCGCAGACCAGCTTCTCGGCCGTCCCGGGCCCCTCCGACCCGGCTCCCCCGCTGGGCGACCGGGAGCAGCCGAGAGGCTGG